AGAAAACCCCACATTTGGTGTCACTGCAGGTTTTCTGTTTGTTTTTACTTCTCTGTTTTGTTCCAAGTCTGACAGAAACACAGAGAAAACACTGGAAAGTTTTTTTTTTGTGTGTTTTAAAGTTTTCTTTTAACATAATTTCCTTGGGTTGTAGATGTGGGGTTTGACCCACCGGTGTGGTTTTTAATTTGTAGCAGTAATACTGTATTGAATTTGCTGCTTGAAGCAGAAAATGTGAAGAAAACCAGTTTAAGGCTCCTTTGCTGGATGTCGTGTCCTGGATAGTGGAGCATAAAGCCACAGGGATGCAGTTTATTATACGGCTCCTGGATGTTTCTCCGTATGTCGGAATGTGGACCGCCACCTCCCAGACCGGATCTTCAGTGCTCTCAGCTCCTGGTTCTCTGGAGTCCCTGGAGATGAGGCTCAGTTTTCCTGCAGGAAACCCGTCCTCCTCTGCTGCTCAGTCTGATGTGGATCTCAGGAGCAGGAGGACAAAGATGGAAGCAGAGCTTCTTTCTTGTCTCCTTTCTCTGAACATGAATAATGCACCAAGGCTGGCTCGTTAAATATTCATGCATTTCAGGGCAGCTTATTAACAGAATCAGTTTTAACAAGAACAGAACTTCATTAAAATGTGTTTATTATTTGTGCGGGTGAAAAGAAACACAACAAAATGTGGCTTTGAAATGTAAATGTGCAGCTAGACCCCCCCTCTCTCTCTCTCCCTGCAACCATTACAGTGCTAAGGCTGTAGCTCAACTAACTGCTTTTGTTTTATTTAGTTTTTAGTTTCTTATTGGCCCAGTTTATCCCTTTTGCATAAAGCAGAAGTTCATAATAACTCCAGGGGATTCATGCTTTTACTAGTTCATTTTGTTTGTGTCTGAATAACAGAGATTGGGGTTAGTCTCTGCTGCTCCATCTGCCCTGCAGGTCCCACCCTCTGCTTCCAGAACATCTCACAGCTCTTCTACCTCTGTCCTGTAGATGTGGCTGAAGCCCATGAAGCGGCAGGATGTTCCTGAGAGGATGTGCTACCTGGCTCCCGTCTACAAGACAAGCGAGCGGCGAGGAACTCTGTCCACCACCGGACACTCCACCAACTACGTGGTCGCCATGACGTTGAACTCCGACGTCCCCCCCGAGCACTGGATCAGAAGAGGAGTCGCTCTGCTCTGTCAGCTCAGCTCGTAGCTGCAGCTTTGTTTCAGCACCAAGGTGTGAATAAAACGTTTAACACATGCAGAGAA